TCCAGGTTTTCCAGGTGTGTTTCAAGAAAATTCCAGTCTATCCGCATAATGTTCGTTGGCTGTGCTAAGAGGTAAATTAATTATGGTATTTACTTGTATTGTGTAGCAAATTCACTTAATTATTCAATAAATCCCAGAGGACATTTATTCTTAATTATTCTTGGTATACTTTGTTTGATAATTTTATTTACTTTTCAACTTAAGAAACTTAATAAAATTTAAGATATATACATTGGATAACAAATGTATGTTTTATTTAATTATTACTCATGATCATCACCAGTTCAAGACGAGGCTAATCTGGTCCTTATAAATCACAATGAAATGCTAAATAGTTAGGTTAGATTTTAGGTAAATTTAATTTGTGTGAGATATGTTCTTAAAAGGCACCTTAACACTTGAAAACACAAATATAATTATAATAGTTGTTGTTTTCTCCACTGAAGATTGAGATTAGAATCTTCCCAATCTGGAATAAAATAAGGCTTTTTTTGCAGACATTCTGCAGCTAAACGAAAGAAAGAAATCTATTTTAATAAACTGAGGTATTTTATATTTATTTCGCAGCATAGATAAGGAAAAAATATGTGCATTAAATTTTGTGATGGTATGTCATCATACTGCTAGAATTAATTTCAGGATTATGCCAGAGAAAATTTCCTGAAATTTGGAAATATTATTTACTAATAATAAATTTAGAGGGAAGAAGCAACATTAAATTATATGAATAACATAAAAAATAAAGATAATTACTTAAAAATTGAATTAGAATAATCAACGATATTTTAGCGAATATAGTTATATATGGTTATCCTAGATGACTGATTACTATTCTTTTTTATTTTACAGCAAAATGGCAAGGTATTTATTTAAAAAAAAAAGAAAGGTTTAAAAAGATTTTGCGGTAAAATTCTAGTAGTATACGGTAAGGCTTTGGCACGATTTTGAAACTTGTCGCCAAGACCAAAATGACCCGTTTACTGCGCATCATCATGTCGCCAAATCCCATTGTACCATATATGAAGATTATTCTAACCAAAGAACGTCTATGTAAAGAAGAAAAGTTACCATACAAGTAAAATGCTATTATGCCGCTAGAATGCGGAGGGAAAATTTGCCAAGGGATTTGGCGACGGAACCTGCCGGCCAGAATTTCCCTCTCCGCGATGTGTACCGGAAATTGAGAAACATGTGTTAAGAAGAAACGTTCTTTGACAAAAAGAGACTTACGAAAAATCCAAGAAGAAACGTTTTATCAAAGGACGTTTCTTCTTGGATTTTTCGCAATAATTTTAAAAACGGATTTTCGTAGTTTTATTTTTCTCTGAAAATAACTAATCCATTAATTAATTTACTTGCGCCAAAAAATATTTTATTTTCCTTTAGTTTAACCACTTGCGCTAAGACTAAACTTCATGGTTGCGGTGCCGTGCGCTACAATATAACAAGCAGTAAAGTGTCTCATTTATGCCGCTCCGCATCTACGAGTGCAATCCAGAGCTGTAACTCGAGAAATAAACAATCTCGTTGTTAGGCGACATGTGCACCACGTTATTTTCATTTTTGTGATAAAAGCTTATCGACGTGGTGTTCACATCGCTCGCGGTTTGAGACAAAAGCATCTCGACATGCGTGGCACGTCTTTTTAGCGCAAGTGTTTAAAGAAATTTTAAACGATATTCATTTTAGGAACTCTTGATAACATGACCTTCGAACTTTGACACCGGTTTCGAGCTTTGGCGACAGATATATCGCTCATGCACAGCTGTATCCCACTATGATGGAACGGAGCCACGTCTGTTACAGAGAGGTTTTCCTTCTTTACAATACATATTGTTGCCAAGAACAAAATGACCCGTTTACTGCTCATCATCATGTCGCCAAATCCCGCTGTACCATACATGGAGATTATTCTAACCAAAGAACGTCTATGTAAAAAACGGAGGGAAAATTTGCCAAGGGATTTGGCGACGTAACCCGGGCGGCCAGAATTTCCCTCTCCGTGATGTGTACAGGAAATTGAGAAACACGTGTTAAGAAGACACGTTCTTTACGAAAATCCATTTTTAAATTATTGCGAAAAATCCAAAAAGAAACGTTTTATCAAAGAATGTTTTTTCTTGGATTTTTCGCAATAGTTTTAAAAACGGATTTTCGTAGATTTTTTTTTCCCCTTAAAATAACTAATCCATGAATTAATTTACTTGCGCAAAAAAAAATATTTTCTTTTTCTTTAGAGTTTAAAGAAATTTTAAACGATATTCATTTTATGAACTCTTGATAACGTGACCTTCGAACTTGACACTGGTTTCGAGCTTTGGGGATAGATATATCACGCATGCACAGATGTTTCCCTCTATGATGGAACGGAGCCACGTCTGTTGCAGAGAGGTTTTCCTTCTTTACAATACATATGCTTTGATTCTAACCTCCATGGTACCGTATACTAGGGTTAAACCCTTTTTGTTTTATAGGAGAACAGGTACTTTCTTTAGTTCATGCACTGCACATGCGATTCTCGAGAATACTAGAAACTTGCTTTGCCTTTCTAAAAGACAATCAAATTGGATCTGCGAAAATTGGCTCTTTGCCAGCTGCCCGAATGACACTCACGTGATACACAATTCGCCAAAAAAGTTATCTCTTCCGACGTCGGCGCAAAAATCGCTTTTTTTTGGCGGGATCGTTGTATGAACTTTCCTGACTTTTCCAGATTTTGACAAAAATACTTAAATTCCCTGACTTTTCCCTGAATTGTTTGGTCAATTTTCGAATTCCCTGACATTTTCCGGTTCTCCCGGTTTTCCAGGTAGCGTGGCAACCCTGTTTAAATCACTATTGAATATTTAATTTGGAGAATTTCACCTAAAGTAAAAGTGATCCACAGTGAGAATTGAAATAAAGATATGGAGTAGTAAAAAGTGAAATCCTTCCGTGTCACACATTTCTGCTGTTTTCCCACTCCACCACGACAACAATCTGATTCTGATGTAGTTATATCGTCAAGCCTTCTCATTTCTGTGCCTGCCTGCCAAAATGCAATTTATGCTAATAAAAACATTGGTGTGTCTGATTTATATTCAATTCCTTTTTTAATTCTATTTTTTCCTTCTACAATGTACGGTCTTTTAGGGTTACTATGTGGAGCTCTGTTACATTTTGCATTGCCTTCAGATAAATTTCGGGTTTTTCGCCTTTTTATTTCGGAAAGCTTCACCTCCAATCTATTATGGCGTGAAGGCACTATTTATCAGAGGAAGAATATACTCGTATGGTTAACGAACCATTTACTAACACAGATGAGAGTGACGATTCATTTTCTAAAGAGTTAGAAAGTGGTACTTCTGCATGCTTCGAGATTTACCCCACTCAGTCTCCATTTTAAATTTTGTTACTTCTTACTGTAAATAGTCCCTATTGTGTTGGTTTATTAATTTTAAACTTTATTGATGGATTTTATGAATTAAAACTTTGTAAAAATTTGAACAGTGCTTCCAAAAATTATTTTATAAGCAATTTTTTAAATGTATTTTCTGGTAAAATAAAGAAAAAAGGTTATTAAATGCTAATTTTAACACATATAAGAACTAACGTAATAATCTAAATGGTGACTGCCTTCGATTCTCTTCCGTCCCGCACAACTGTCTTAAACAAAGGTACATTGTCATGAAAGGGTTAATAATCTAAAAACTTCATATTGATATTATTAAACTGCTTAGTAATACATAAAAAGAGCATTTCAAAAGTTTTGCGACCTATATACCTTATCTGCATTTTGGTACCATGTACAACTAAGACTTGTGTCTGCAGTTCCATTCCAGTTTTTATTCCTGATATATTGATATTGAAAGAGACCCAAAAACAACTTTCTCTTACAATATATCTCTCCTTATGACCTCTAACACACCCGTTTACTTTTACCTTCATTATTAAGGTTAATCTCCCCTTTTTGACTGCATATGGGACGACACCAGCTAAACAAGTCCTATACAGCAGCAATGAACCTAAGAGTGTGGGGAACTATTGACAAGTGTCGTTGGAGTTACTGATCTACAATTGGCTATTCTTCAAAACCAGCAACATACTCAACATGTGATATATTTTGGCATGAGTATTCAGCCAATCATCAGATGAATTAGTTGGTTCCTTTTTGCATGCTGGTTCTCCTACCCTGTTTCTGTAAAATCTGTAGTTTTTTTCATACTTTTCGTAGCTTGTAGTTTTTTATGAATTTCCGTAGAAACTACGGAGAATCCGTAGTAGTTGAAGTCTATGCAATAGCAATTACAATAGAATTTAATCATAGATACTCCTAACTCGTCTAGCATTGTAGAATGGTGTTAACATGACCAATTCCTAATGATTTGCAAAATACTGATGAAAAAATCATTCTTAATTTTGCTTGTACTGAGAAAAGGTAAAAATTAACAAAAAAAATATATCACAAGAACATCAGTTTAATTTATCATTTAAAACTTGTAAAACTATTTTGTTAGTTTTCACATATTTCCTTTCCAGAAGTTTTTCAAAATTCCCATCTTTTTCCTGTGCAAATAAAGATTCAATATGCATCAAGTTAAATGCCCTCATGCATCTCTCATCCTCTCGAACAAATGATTTAACATGACAAACATGCTGCCTTTTTTGTTCTAAAAATATTCTGGAGAACAAAAGTACAATGTTTTGATTCTAAAAGTGTTTTGGAAAGCAAGATTCTGCATCAGCATACACAGCTAAAGGTAAATCAAATTTTTGAAGAACATATTTTCCATACTAGAACTATCTTAATCCCCTGATTTAATCTTGATAGGACTACTGATTTAGGATCCATTTTTAAAATTCTTTCAAAAATGGAAAAAGACCCTCCCCTAAAAAAAGTGTGTGTGTGTGAGAGAGAGAGAATAAAGTATTATTCCATTATAGTATAACCATTTCACCACATTCATTTTATTCTGAAAAAAAAAAAAAAAAAAAAAAAAAAATTCTTTTGAAATAGTTACCTCAAGTTCTTCACCACAGGAACTAGCAATTTCTCTAATAAGATCAATAGCAGCTCCTTCTCCACAAATATGAATTTCTTCTGCAGCAAGACCTAGAAGAGCTCGTGTCCATGCCCAGCCTCTTGCAGGATCTCTTATCATTTGTATTTCATCAATAACAGCCACTTCATCTAAGAAAGATTTCACAATAATTTATATTTAAAAAAGTCAACACTGCTGTAACAGATTCTAGTTTCAACAATAGGCAAGACTATAAATTCAAATTTTAGATATATTTTCCCCATTACATACCAATACTTAAGAAGTATTCTTCCCACTATTAAAGAAAAATCTGACTAAATATAACATATGGATTACACATTTTTATTGAAAGTTTAATATATCATCAATTAAATTTTATTTCCAGAACTGAGATTTAAATACAGTCCAAATTCGTTATCAATAATGATAGGGATCTACAGGATATCTTAGAAGTAAAAACAATTTATTTTCAATTCTTGAATTAATCATTTAACTACTACTTTTAAATAGGGTTAGAAAAAATACTTTTATATAGGATAGCAACAAAACAATTCCATAAAATAATTTATTCTGAAAAAAAAAAATAAATAAAAGGCAATTTTTAAAGAATCTTTGACAATGTATCAAAAAGATTTGCTTTTTATACAAAATAATCTCCAGAAGAAAAAAAAAAAAATCACAATTTTAAGCACACATACATACATGTACACAGTGATCTAAAATTCTTAATCTATTCTGATGAGAAAGACAATTCTCAGTTTTGAAACGTGTGAATATTTGGCTACTTATTAACAAATTTATGAGAAAAAGCAGCTTAATAGATGAAAAGCATTCAAACAATCTGACAAAACCTGAAATGTATCAGGCAAAATGTTATGATAGTGGCCAAATGCTGCTGTCTACCATGTCAGTCTTCTTCTTCAATGGCCAGACAGCCCAGGATGAGCCATTGCCTTCCTCAGAATCGAATTCCAAGCTCTTCTATCCCTGGCCATGGACATCCAATTGGTTATTTTTAAAATTCTTAAGTCTGTTTCCAAAGAGTCAAGCCACCTAAGTTTAGGTCTCCCTCTTTTTCGGGTGCCGAATGGTCTGGCCGAGATTTTTTTAGTTACTCGATTTTCATCCATTCTGCACAAGTGTCCTGCCCATTTAATTCTCTGAATCCTTATATATTTTATCATATGTATTTTTTTAAAAGATTTATAGAGTTCAGAGTTAGTTCTTCTCCAGATATTGCTACATTATATGCCACCAAAGATACTTCTCAAAATTTTTCTTTCAAAGACAGAAATGATACTTTTAGCTTTTTCTGTCATTGCCCAGGTCTCAGCAAAGTATGTAAGAATGGGTCTGATTAAGCTTTTGTAAATTAAAAACTTCGTTTTTCTGTCATTGCCCAGGTCTCAGCAAAGTATGTAAGAATGGGTCTGATTAAGCTTTTGTAAATTAAAAACTTTGTTTTTCTGCTAGTAAAGTTAGCTTTCAAGTATTTTTTGCAATCGAAAAAACATCGGTGCATCTGTGACTCTACTACGGATCTCAAGCATTAAATCATTGAGAGTATTAACTTCTGATCCTAAATATTTAAATTTATCAACAGTTTCTAAGTTGTAATTCCCAGTTTCCAATAATTCCCTTGGTTTTGGGTTTTTCCATATATCCTAGTGTGTTGTCAGCTAATTGTATGATGGAGTCTTTGAGCAAACTTCACTTATTTTGCTGTTTTTACAACATGGTATGTATTTAGTTTTATTTTGGTTGATTGCTAGATGCATTTTGCTGGCTGCAACCTCTAAAGATGTAAAAGCCTCTCTAAGTGGCTCAGGAGTGCGTGCGACTATGTCAATATCACCAGCAAACGAAAAAATCTGAACAGACTTGTTAAATTTAGTTCCATGAGTATTAATGTTGGAGTCTTTTATGATTTTTTGGAGGGCAAGGTTAAAAAGCAAGCAGGCCAGTGCATCACCCTGTCTGACCCCATATGAAACAACAATAGGCTCAGAAAGATTATTCTGGATTTTAATCCTAAGTTTTGTCTCAGTAAGAGTAATGAGGACCAAATTTATAAGTTTTTCAGGTATTGCAAATTCTCTCATCGCTTCAATTAAATATTTTCTGTTTATTGAATCGTAGGCAGTCTTAAAATCAACAAAAAGGTGGTGTGTTGCAATGCCATTATTTTTTCCTATATTCATTATTAATAATGTTTTAATAATGTCATTATTAGTTAAACCAAAATTTGCCTAATGTTAAAACTAATAATGATTTCATTAGTTTTTTCTGCTGTAGATCTTCATTTGCGGAAACCATATTGGTAATCACCTACAATATTTTCTGTATAAGTTACTAGTCTACTAAAAAGTATATTGGACAATAGTTTGTAAAAAACACAAAGGATACTGATTCCCCTGTAGTTGATACATTCCAAAATGTGTCCTTTTTTTTGTGTATTGGACAGATGATGCTCAGTTTCCAATCAAGTAAAACTTCTTGGTTCCAAATTGATTCGATGAGGTGATGTATTTCCTCAATGTTTTGACCTGTAGCACTTTTAATAAGTTCTGAAGTAATCGAGTCAGGGCCTGGGGCCTTGTTATTTTTTAGCTTTTTAATTCTTTCTCTAATTTCTACCAAAGATGGTGGCGGGATACTATTGGTGTTTACAGAGGTAGTTGGGTAGGTAGAAGACCCATCTTGCATATGGTCATTCAACAAATTACTAAAGTGTTCATTCCACCTGTGAAGTACATCTTTTTTATCATTTAGGATGATGTTATTTTTGTCTCTACAGCCAGTGGTTCTAGGCTTAAAATCTTTGTAGCCAAGATTAATTTCATGATAGAAAACACAACTTTCATTGGACCCTCTCAGATGTTCAATATCCTTAAATAGGCCGTCGTGAAAAAGTCATTTCTTAAGCTGATGGATCATCTTCTCCTGTATTCTAGATCTCTTATATTCCTCAACAGAGAGTCTTGAATGTTGCTTTTGGACCATATTTTTATAAGCAGCTCTTTTTGCCTGTGTTACAAGGAAGCATTCATTATCAAACCAATGCCTTGGTTTTGGATTTTTCCATATATCCTAGTGCGTTGTCAGCTGAGCGTATGATGCAGTCTTTGAGCAAACTTCACTTATTTTCCATGGTTTCCAGTTTGGCCATGTTTTTAGATCTTAGTTTCCTCTGAGTGAAGACTGGAAATTTCGTTCAATTGCCTCATTTTTCAGTTTTTCACAACCAAACTTTTTTTGCCTCTCTTCCTGTATCTTTCGAATGTTTGAAATTTTAGCAATTAGTTTAGCAATAACCAAAAAGTGGTTGGAATCACATGTGGTGCCTCGATAAGTTCTAACATCCTGGATATCCGAAGAATGCCTAGAATCAATGAGTACATGATCAATTTGATTCCAGGTTTCTCCCTCAGGTGAGCACCAAGTCATCTTATGTATTCTTTTGCGGCTGAACGCAGTGCTTGAAATTGCCATGTTGTGTTCAGCAGCAAAAAGTACTAGTCATTGTCCATTGTCATTAGTACTATCATGCAAGCCATGCTTTCCAATTGTTGGTCTAAATTCATTCTCTTTACGCAATTTAGCATTCATATCTCTCATAACAATTTTAATGTCATGCTTAGGACAAGATCTGTATTACAATATCAGAGGACATGTTTTCTCCTACCAACAGACATATAAATAATTGTTCTTCATATGATAAACCTGCAATAATCAGCAAATATTTCCCTTTCTGAGTAATTCTTCTATTTTGAGATACTTCTGTATTAATTCTTGTATCGACTTCTGCGTTGCTTGTTTTTTGTTGAATTCTTCTGAAAACTGCCAATTAAGTTGTTCACTATTGAAGAAGTTATTTTATTTTCTCACACTTATTTTTAACATTGGAAGATATAACCACATCTTTATTTATTCTAGGTATTTATTATCTTTTACCTTAATTCTAGAAGATGGTCCACCAGTGGCCAAATAGTAAAGTAATTAAAACTGGTAGTTCAGTACAGAGTTCAAACGACGGTGAACAGGCTAGCTGCATGTGCATTTTCATGGTTTTCCCCATGCGTGATATGGATAAGAGCTAGTTTCTCTTGGAAATTCCTTCACGAAAGCATCCTTTCCCTTAAGCATAAGTCAAATGGCATTAGCTGAACTTTATTAATGATGTCTTGCAATAGAAAATGCAACAGCGGTGAATGATTTGAAGCCAAGGAAATAGCAGAAGTGAATAATAAGAGCAGAAGAGATTCAAGATACAGGAAAGTAGAAATGCAGATATCTTATTAGATATTTTACTGTTAATACTGCTATGTATTCTTAATGGAATGTAGGTTTCCTTTAATGAAATACCATTGTGATGGTTACTGGTAGATTATTCATGAATACTTTCAATTTGCAATGTTTTTTTCTGTAACAGTGTTCTTTGGAAAATAAATTTTTCATCTAATTTTAAAATAAAATTAGATAAATAATAATAAATGTATACAATAAAATTAGTAAAAAAAGGAACAGAAAAGTGCAAGTAAAAAGAGTATGTATTATGTTGCAAAGTTACAGATGTGAAAAAAAAAAAAAAAAAAAAAAAAAAAGAGAGAGAGAGATTTGTAAAGAGACAACAGACAGTTAAAAACATATTACAAAACTAAATGAAGTCCCCAATATATATTTAATAAGATTTAATCCTATGATTTAAATATTAGTTCCTAAGTGATCTTTGTGTTTAACTATAAACAAAACTTTTCATATTTTTATATGCAAAATTCTTTGGGATGTGTTTAATAAGTACTTTTAAGGGGTCATTAATACTTTAATAATGATTTTTTTAAAACCAAGATGAAATTAAATTACCGAAACAAGAAAACGTATTTTGTACCTGCTAAATTTATTCTAAGAAACCCTGAATAATGTCCAAAATAGCCCAATATATGTCATCTAATCAATAAATTCATTCCAGAAGATCTCTACAAGGTATATCTATGATTCATTAAGGCATGATTTCATTTTTTCACTGAAATTTTGACTCTGCATGTGCCTAATTGACGTTAGATTTTAGTTTTTAGAACAATCTTTATGCTTAACATTGTGAATGTTTCTTTGAAATTTCACAATTTATTTTTTAAATGTAATTGGAAGTATATGTCTGTATTGAAGATTTAAATATAATAATAAATAATAATAATAACCCACTATTATCTTTTCTGGGCATTCTGAATAATGTCAGACATTTCACACTTAACAGTACAATAATCTTTAAACTTCCTCATTCTATATAACATACCTTTACAAAAGTTTATTATAAAATTTAAAATAATGTGGAACACAAGTCTGGAAACAGATTTCATAGAACATGCTTAGATAAAAAAAAAATTTCTGCTGAACAAAACAGCAAATTGACTATACTAATAATCCATAACTACATTCTTAATTAAAATTTGAAAAATTACAGAATATAATTCATGTATGAAAAAATTATTCACAGAGAGTTTGGTTTTTATTATTTATTTATTTATTTATTTATTTTAAACATTAAGATAATCTCCAATTTCAATTTGTACCCAGGAAAAAAAAAAAAAAAAAAGGTAGATTTTTCACTTCTAAAATCTGCATTAAGCTTATAGACATCTTATCAGTATCTCAATATGCATTCACATTTTTCAAGACTTCTCCCACTAGCCACAGAGCTGAGAATATGAGCAATGACAATGAAATATAATATTCAACAATGATAAAATATTTGCACAAAATTTTGGATCATTTATTTTCATTTCCAAAAGCTACATGAATTTAATTATGAACCCAATTTAGCTCATTAAATTTAAAAAATTTTTATATGAAACTAATTTTTCCATTCCACAAATGGAAACTTTCATGTTATATATATAAATATCAAACCATTTTTTTAAATTTGCTTAGTAATTTAATTATTTTAACTCAATAAAATTACTCCTTAAAATAAAAAAATTAAAACTTGATCATATATTTAAAAACAAGCTACTAATATTTTTTCATGTAATTCATAACATTTTTGTACAAAGTTACTAATAAAATGGTTCAAGAACGATAATACTTACACCTGTTTTCTACAGAAACCATTTCAATAGTACAAGCTACATGACTAGCAGGTTGATTTTCAGGTAAAACTAACTGTCTTTCTTCACCCGTCACCAAATCGCATGGTGTTCCCTGAAACAAATATCATATACTACAGAATACAATTACAAATATCAAATATTACAGTAATAAGGAAAAAATAGTTTAAATTCTATGACAATTATTTTAAATTTTACTAACAGTTCATTTGAGTCACACACACTCACTCAAACCAAAACGTTATGCAAATAATGCACATAAAAAAAAAAAAATTTAGCTATAAAGGTAAACAGCAACTCATGCCTTACACAGAGAAAAACTGCTTTGCTATTCATAACAATTAATGTTTGTAAACAGTCAGAAATTCTTGGAGGCTACATCAATTTTCAATTTTCATTGCCACCTGAAGAAAGAAGGTTCTCCCCTTCTACAGCAATTTACTGGGAGAAAATCTTGGTAATATTAGTACTAAAGGTAATCTAGTTTTAATGATTTTATTTTTATAACTGTAAATTTCAGACACGTTGGATAACATGTTATTGTTAATAAACAATTCTACCTTTCAGTTTGTGAATTCTCACACTTAGTTCAGTAGTTTTCAGTTGCTTTTGCTCCATGCATCCCTTTGAATTCCGCTGGATGACCATTCACTCCCTTTCCAAAACTCAAAAAATGCATATACATTTATTTAACTTAAAATAAGTTTTAAAGTGCTTTATAAATTAAACAAGAAAAAGTATATAAAATGTCGATAAAAGCTGAATAAAAGTAGTTTTAAGGCTGACCACATTCCCTCTGAAACTATGAAATCCTTCCCCCGCTCAGGAGAAATTTCATCACATTGAGAACCCCTGCATTAGTAGTAATCCACAAGAAATGGATAAATAAAGTTGCCTGAGTTTTAAATCTGTACTTGTAAACTGTAGTCAGAGTAATAATTCTCTGATAATTAGTAAGTAGCTCTTAGTGAAGTACCATTAGGTGGATATACCTTTAAGAATAGTTACCGTAATTTCCGGAAGAAAGGCCGCATCAGCGTAAATGCCGCACTCGAGAAAAACGGCGGGGAAAAAATTAAAATTACACAGAAACGCCGCAATAGATTAAATTGCCCGTGACATCGTCGGGGGCCGTATAGATGCAAAATCTCAACCTATGTCCTGATATATGACATATAAGTTAAGAAAAATGCATGAAATGAAATCATAACTCAAAAATAAATTAAAGGTAAGAAATGTTGAAAATATATTTACGTTCACGAATATACTTATATTTACCCACTAAAGAAGTCCATATTTGTAATACTCAGACTATATTATAAAAAAATGTTGCAACAACGAACTATTAAATTTGGATTACAAAAGCAAATTTTAAATTTTACTTACAAAAGGAATTAAAGCAAACTATACATCATATGAAGCCATCAAAATCTGATTCTTCACTTTCTGAATTAAAAAGATTTAGTAAATCCTGATCTAAGTCCAAGTCTTCCAGATCGTCACATTCATCCTCTTGGTTTACAGTCTCTTTATCTAAAGATATAATTTCACCTTCTTTGAATCCTGCTATTATTGACGATGTTTTTACCGATTTCCACACACTTCCTACTCACTTTGCAACTTCTTGATAAGATGCTCTGCAAATTTTACCACTTTTGGTATACGTATGCAATCCTTCACTCATCCAACACTCCCACTTTCGGACTTCAGCTTTGAAAGATTTATTACCTGACAAATCTAATGGTTGTAAGATTTTTGTCAAACCACCAGGAATTATTGCTACGGTCGTAGACAATTTTTGACATCTGGTTTTCATTGACTTAAGTAAATGAGCACGCATGGAATCCACTATCAATAACCCTTTTGGTTGGAAAAAAGATCCCTTACGACACTGTCAAACTTTTTGTAGCCACTCATGCATGATTGTTTCGCACATCCAGCCGTTCTTGTTTGCACAAATAATTACGTAATTAGGAAAATCTCCCTTCGGACTGGTTTTCCGTTAAAAAATGATCATTGGCTTTAGCTTGTCACCGTTTGCGCCACAAGCTAACACACATGTAAATGATGTTCTTTCATGCCCTGTCGTAAACACAGATACAGTTTTTGCACGAGTTTCATCAACAGTTCTGTTTGCAGGAGAGTCGAAAGCTAACGGCGTTTCATCCATATTTATTATCTGTGACCGAAGAAGTTTTCTTTTGTCAATAATATCTGTCACATATTTTAGAAAAGATGCCTTTTTTATCCTGCCAGTCCATTGGTAATTGTTGCCCGACTATTCTAGTACGCACAGAAATATTTTTTCTTTTCATAAATCTGCTACACCAGCAAGGCCCTCCTTTGAAATCATTTATGTTCATTTGCTTTGCTATAAATTTTGCTTGTAAGTGAATTTTTACAGTCGAAATTGCCATTTCTTTTTTTCGTTGCTCCTTTATCCAGTTTGCAAGGTCATCCTCTAGATTCGGCCACCTTACAGTACCACTTCTTTTTTGGCTCGTTTCTGTTGTGGCATATTTTTAAGTTTTTCTTTTTCAGTTCTCCAACGTCGAATACATCTCTCGTCCACTTCAAACTCTCGAGCTGCTGCTCTTTTTCCAATTTGTTCAGCACATGAAATTACATTAAGCTTAAAACCAGCAGTATAGCTTCTGTGCCATTTTAAAAAATTTTCCACTCCCTTCTTACTTAAAAACTATCCAACAAGTACTTGCACCCAAACTGATGGGATCTGTATCTGGCAGAAAGCCAAGAAAAATCGATTCATGCTGAAGGGGAAATACGTCAGATGCCTTCCAAACTATGTACAATGACAAAGTTATTCAAACTATGCACAATGACAAAGTTATTCAAACTATGTACAATGACAAAGTTATTCAACTTATGCACAATAACCATCGAAGGAAATATTTTATTTTTAGTGCACCTAAACGCCGCGGCGTTTCTTCCGGAAATTACGGTACTTAGAACAATTAAAACTTAACTGCCAAAACAGAAAAATTTTATAAAGACACAGTAGTTTTAGCAACATACATAGAAGAAGTAACAGCCTGAAACAACATATTTCAAATCTGTAGCAATCTCAAACGGTTCATTTTAAAACTAACAACAGTTCAAAGCAACCAGACAGTGACAATTTTAAAGTCCAAACTACAATGGTACCTCGATATTTGTCCTCTTTAAAGTACGTCCAACTTGGGATATGTTCCCTTGAATGACAAAACTTTTGTTTGATATAAGACATTTATTTATAATGTGACTCAAGCTTGATGAGTCATGACTGCACAACACCTGTTTATCTCTTTTGAGACCATGCCTACAACTACTCTAAAGCGTCAGTGCACCTCTTGCTACAATTCAGTAAACAATCTGCACTAAATTTTTAAATATTTTTTTTAGTAATTTAACAATGAGTTTCAGGAAAGTTAATGAGAAGAGAGCAAGGCAACAAAGAAAATTATTAGGATCATCATGGTGGGGGGGGGAAAGATTCCTGAGAAGTATGAAAACAACGGTTCCCAGACAAAAAACCCACAAAAAAAAGGCCACTATGGTAATTGCCCACCCGGCAAATGCCCACAGCGATGAAAGCACACATTGATATAAGCCCACGCTGATAAAAGCACACACTGATAAATGTGCACATAATCAAAAGGGATTTATGCTTTTCTATTAGTAAATCGTGTATTTATAATTTTAATTATAATAAATGGAATATTCAGACCTGAATTTTAATGTCTCAAATATGTCTGTTTGTATATTTTATCACTACTTTATTCGTTTAATTTATTAGGTTGAAAACAAACTTTCTGTTTTCACATCTTGTCTCTGTGACACCTTCACTGATATTTTTACCTCCAGGATGCCATATTTAAAGACAACTGGCAAAAAGCTTGCAAATTCACGCAGGCTATGACCAGTATAACAGCGATAAATGTAATGGAATCTGATTGACAAGCTGTAACATTTCGATGACAAATCTGAAATTGCATTTTATTATTTATTTACTTATTTAACTTGTATGTGTATGTGAAAATGAAAAATATCATTGTGAAGTTTCTCACATGCTATTTTTAAGGTAATATGGCTGAGATTAAATATAATTATGTTTCATTATTAAAACTATTAACTTTTAAATTAAAAACACTTGAATTTTATTTTCTTCCTTTTTAATTTTTCCTTTAGTTCCTTTTTAGTTTGGTAATATTAAAACAGTTACGCATAATAAAAACTTCGCTAAGAGATATTTTATTCTTTACTTTAGACTGAGCTTATTATCAAAGTTTAAACATATTCCTCACTAAAAGCTTTTTTGAATGGAACAATTATAATTTGGCGATTTTCTAGAAATATTTTCTTTCAGATTTCTGAATAAATTAAAACTGTCAGCTGACACCCTGTCAGAAAATGAATTCCAAGTGTAACCTCTTAATCTCTCAACTACAGCAATTTTGAATAGTGTTTTTAATTTTCATTTTATTTATTTTTTGGGGGGTGGTGGAAAACTCTTAGAAGTCAACATATCTACAAATTTAAATAGCAGAATCATCTCAATCTACAGTAATAAATATGTAGCATTTTATTAGTTTGAAAATTTTTAATCTCAAAAATTTAATAATCTGATTTATCTGAAAAATTTTACAAACAGTAATTATTATGATTAAAAATGAAATTTCAAGTAGGAATGAAATTAATTTATGTATAATCCAAGTTGTCAAAATTTAACTAGATTATTTGAAACTGTGCTTTTAATTCACTATGAAAACAGTATTTATGATAGCGCACACAAATGTTTTTTTAATCATAACAGAATATGGTACTTTTATCTTTCTCGTTGAAATAAAAGTTCGGCTTTAATTCTCCATATTAAATTCATTATGTGCAAAATTTTCTGCAGTGTTAAATTGGTCATAAATTATTCTCTGTATATGAGGAAAATTTACATACATTTCATACTCCTTGTAATTTTGTAGAATTAAAAGAAGCAGTGTGGCCAGTATTCCCTTTCACCTCCCTTTGTCAGACTTATACAAAGACACTTCTATTTGATGCGTAAATATAATAACAAAATTACACATACATGTATATGTT